TTGGAGTTACCAGGGGGGCTGCAATGGCATAGTCCACAGGGCACGGCTAACCCAAAGGCCACATCTCTCTGCCAGTCCAATCTGATTCGATCACACCCAACAAGGGGTACAGGGGAGGACATACACAACCAATTGTCTTCAGTTCTTTGTAGTATCTCTTATGTTTTACCCTTGATTTGAATTTTTGTTCTTAATTTGAAATCTATTTGATTTTAACCTGGTTTACCAAATTCACCTCTTACCAACCATCCCTTCTCCAAGTATCCCAACATCCATCCTATTCCACCCACAGCTCCAACAGGAAACATTCAGGGCTCTGCTTTCACACATAGCATAATAGCTAGAGTCCTGGGTCTATAACCAAGAATCTCCAGGTATATCCAACTCTACAGTTAATTCACTATGTGATGAGTCTGTTTCTTGTTCTGTAATATAATAATTGGTCCAATACATATAAAGTGTTCCATAGCAGCAAGTGTCATATAAATATGTTTATGTTAAATAAGATGTTCAGAAAGAGATGCTTGAGAGTTGAAATAAGAGCATATTGACAGTAGTTGTTGTGGAAGATTGTTTTCTTGCCACTTCTTTATCAAGAGGTTAATCTACGGCCTCCCCTCAGGCCTGGAAGCCTATAAGGATGGTGGTGCTACATTTCCAAGGCTGTGTTAGATAAAGCAGCACGTCTTCCACCTGACTCGCTCTCTCAAATACGCACCTTTGGAGCCCTGGATAAACAGGGAGGAAATCCCAATACCCTGAAGAGTCCATGCTGAATAGACCACACTGATATGACAACATATAGTTTGGGTGTAGATGACCAAGGGCTTCTGCTGTTTCAGCCCATATATCCTACAAATCTCTGCATCATCCCAGCCCAGACACTCAAAATATGAATGAGTGAGGCCTAAGATTAACCCACTGTTAGTTACAAAGACAAATAGAGGAGCCTCCAAGTGAGAGTTACCTAATTAAACCCAGTACAGTCCTAGGTAATACTGTGAAAGTTAACATTAAGATGACCATTATTATTTTAAGTCATATGCTTTAGAATGTTTCCTCACACAGTAATATATAACAGAACAATAGGGATCATGGGATAGAGTGATTATCCTACATCTATATTGTTTTAATGTCTTACAATGAAAAATCTCCAAAAATTTTTGATTTGATGATTTACAATTCAATGCTTTAATGTTTTACAATTTAATGCTTTAATGAGTATCTATCATTGGGGCAGGGGGTACATTGTAACAGAGAATGTTATTTTTATTTTAGAAAAATAACCAATCTTACCTATTAAATCATAACGCTTCACATGATTTCTGAATTTTCTTGATTTTATAAGAATTCACTAAGGGTATTCTTTTTTTTCTGGTCCTGTACTTTTTCAAGTTCTATATACTTGATTGTGCTTATGTGAAACCTATACTTGGACAGGGAGGCAGTCATCAGAACAGAGCAAAGAAGCACTTCATGGTTCAAAATTGGGGAGAGTGTGCATCAAGGTTATGTCCTATCTCCATATCTTTTCAATCTATATGTAAAATAGATTATCCAGGAGGCTGGGCTCTATGAAGAGAAATGTAGCGTAAGAATTGTAAGTAGATTCATCAACAATCTGTGTTATGCAGATGACACAACCCTGCTTACTGAAACTGAGAAGGAGCTGAAGTGTTTGCTGAAGAAGGTCAAGGACTGCAGCCTTCAATGTGGATTGAAGCTCAACATCAAGAAAACAATGATTCTCACCACTGGGCCAATTGGCATCATTATGATAGATGGTGAAGAGACTGAGATTGTTGACAGCCTCAGTTTGTTTGGCTCTACAATCAATACTCTTTGATACCAGCAGCTGGGAAATTGAAAGATGAATTGCATTGGGAAATTCTGCTGTCAGAGACCTCTCCAAAATACTGAAGAGAAATTATGTCAGTCTGGAGACTAAGGTGCACCTGACACAGGTCATGGTCTTTGCAATTATTTGCTATGCGTCAGAGAGCTGGACAACTGACAAGGGATAATAGAAGGAGAGTTGATGCATTTGAGCTATGGTGCTGGAGAAGAGTGTTGAATATACCACGGACTGCTAGGAGAACAAACAAGTTTGTCCTGGAGAGGGTGAAGCCAGGCTGCTCCTTGGAGGCAAGGATTCTGAAGCTTCATCTGACGTAGGTTGGACATGTTGCAGGGTGGGATCAGTCCTTGGAGAGGGACGTCTTGCTTGGAAGGGTGGAGGAACAGTGCAGGAGAAGAAGACCCTCAACAAGATAGATTGATTCAGTTACTATTAGAATTCAAGAAATGATTGCTTGTTGCTGTGTACCATCAAGTCAGAACCAACCCACAGTTGACTCTACAGCAGGTTTTCAGAGGGAGTATATATAGCAGGGGAGGAGACTGTCTATCTTTCTCCTGTGAAGCAGCTCGTGGACTCAAACCATGTGCCTTTAGTATTATCATAAAGATAGACAAATAGATTAATGAAACCGGAGTGGGGTGTAATTTTCTAGAATTGGTATTTCCTGATAACATGTCCAAAGTACTCAGTAAGTATTATTCCACAAAGTAATCAAGCTAAAAGATATTAATGAACCTGAACTCATAAAGCTAAGAAGCAACAGACTGAACAACTGTGGTGTCAATCACAAGCTCTTTAAACAACACAAATACCTCTATCACCGCCAAAAGAAACTGACACGTTCAGAAAAAATTTGCATTGTACTAAATATTTGAAAAATGGCAATCAAGATGGATTCTGTAGAGTTGCTTCACCTCATTCTGAAGTCTTCAAGCGATTTGTGCAGACACGAACAAAGACTGAAACACAAAGCCAAGTCTCTTGGCCACCAATGTCCACTTTATTCTATATCCTTTCCTGAACATATTCCTCTACTGTTTTCTAAAATATCAGTCACGTGTCCTTAAAAGGAAAGTTTCTAGAGTTCAGAAGCTGCATTGCATTCCATTTAGGCATTTTACTTTCTCATACTAAATTCTACACCCACACTAAATTATAATATGCATTGCACACGCTGGCACATTTTTAAAAAGTTGCCACTGAGTCAGTTCCAACTCATGGCAATTCCATTTACTGTTGCTATTGTTGTTGTTGTTGTTGTTGTTGTTAGGTGCTGTTGAGTCAAGTATGACTCACAGCAACCGTATGATGAACACTGTCCCATCCTGGGCCTTCCTCATCATTTCTGACATACCCAAGCCCAATGCAGCAGTCACTGGGGGCAATCCAACTGGTTGAGGATCTTCGATGTACAGGAGCCCCAAAACAAATGTTATCAATATCTTTCTAGTGCCACAGACCGGACTTTTACTTTTTCTCATCAGACGGAAGGAAGAAGTGTATTTTCTATAAATTTCAGGTTGAATGCTTTACGTACAGTAGGCAGTCAACCAGAGTTGACAACAGTATCTACTGAGACTCAGAGCTCACGGTCTGGCTTAGTGGACTCCCTACTCTATCATTTGATTACTGCCCTTGGGAAAATGATTCCATCCTTTAAGTCTCCAATGCTTCATCTACTTATAAGTCAGAGATCATAAGTGAACATGGCTACTTGGAATTGCTCTAGTAATGTCATCAGAGAATTTCTGTAGCAAAATTGTCACATTCTTAGAAGACGACCAATGTCTAATAAATATCAGTTACTACCTGGACCAATTGGCAGCATCAGGATGGATGGCGAAGAGATTGAGATTGTACACAGCTTTAGTGTGCTTGGCTCCA